TGTCAAAGGAGGGATGGGCCTGTGTGGCCAGATGTCCCTGTCCCTGGGGAGGGACAGGAGCACACAGGTGGTGGCCTGCTGTGGGTCTCTGATGGAGTCCCAGGCCTATGGCTGACCTTCGGGGTGTTGGCCAAACCACAGGTGGCCCTTCAGTTTTCCATGTGTCCTGTGTGATGAATCAAGGCACTAAGTCACACACCGGGCCTTGGGCAGCTCGGCACAATGATGCAGGCAATCACGAGTTGCCAGACCTAAGGTGAAGACAGCCACTGGGGCCCTCTGTGGCTGGTGGGCGCTGTCCAGCTGCCCTGGTGAGACACATGGAGCTGTTTCATCAAAATAACCCTCCCACTTGCTCATCAAGGACTTGGTTCTGTGACCTGAAAAGCATGGGGTAGCTTGAGGTGTTCTGTGGGGCTCCACGTTGGTGTCTGAGCTTTTAAAAGGTCAAGCTTGGCCCCGTGCCCCTTAGGGCCCGCCTCTGTGGGATCCTTCTTTGCTCCAGGCTCACCTTGTCCATCTCCTGTCCCCTGGGCAGGAAGCCACCATGAGCCAGGCTTACAGCTCCTGCCATGCTGACACCGAGTTGTTCTAGAGAGGCATGATGTAGGATGGTGACGTTTGGCAGCAGCAGTGGTAGGAAAAGTGAATGCCAGGTCCTTGAGTCCAACTCTGCCAAAACCTCTCTCCAGCTAAGGCCTTCTCTTCCCCCATACCCTGCAGGAGCTGTGTGGCCAAGTACTGCACCTGGGTTCTTAATCCTTTTTGCAAATGAGACTTCAGTCTTGCTTTTATGGTGTGCCTTGTTACTTTGGAAATTTTCACCAGCCACAAATTGACACTTAGCGATGGGTTATGCAAACAAACAGAAACTGGTGTGAGAACAAAGTGCTCTGAGCTCGCTGGAAGATGCCTCTTCCATTTTCTGTATGCCTGACTCTACGGTGTCACCATATTTCCTCCCTGCCTTCTCCATTGGGCCCGAGGTCCCTGATGGCGGCAGGGAGCCAGCATCCTGCGTGGGGGCGGCCTGGTCCTGCAGCCTGCGTGCAGGGCGTTGGCTACGGCATCGTTGTGCATTATTGTATTCAAAACTGACAGGCGCAGTCACATCCCTGGCCAAGATTGAAGGCTGAGGTCACCAACACAAGAATTGAGCCCCATGCTAAATGAGACTTTGAACCAACGTGAACAGGTCCTTGCCCCTCAGGAGGGAATGAAGAGTCCCTCCCTCCAAAAAAAAAGGACAAGGTGATCTGGAAGGACTCAATTTACACCCTTGGCTCCTGTGGGCTGGGGGATCAGCAGAGGGCGGGATAATCCCAGCTTCTCGAGCAGATGGTTTCTGACTACCGCTTGACCCAGTTCCCTCCCAGCAGATGACTGGCAGCAGGGCTGACGCTCCTCCACCAGGGGAGCAAAGTGTGGACCCCCCTCCTCTTCCCTCCTCCCACCGGTAAGGACACAATGGCTTTTGCCTTTCCCAGGTGCCAGGTTAACAGGCAGTATGCTGCACCTTTCTGAAGGTGCCCACCCTTCTTCCCTGTCCAGACCAGGTGAGGCTGGCAGTAGGAAGGGTTGAAGCTGGGCAGGTCAAGAATGCTTCTTCCAGGGCTTGTGCTGGGGGGGGGGGATTGGTGGTGTTAAATCCTTCACTGGCTTAATGACCTCCCTCATTCATTCAATCAATCGTTCTTTCAATAAGCTCCCTGATCATGTCAGGTCTAACCCTAGACAGGGCCTATGAGTCCTGGTTCCTGGGCTGGAGATAGACAGGTAAGGAGATAACAGCCAGACACGGACACAGGGGCCTCATCACACAAGTACCATCTAGGGCACAAGAGGGTCAGGGAGAGCTTTGTCAAGGAAGAGAGATTGGGCTGGGTCCTAAAGACTGAGAATGAGTTTGCCAAGTAGTCAGAGGCTCAGGTGATGGAGAAAGCCTGAGGTCACAGTGCCCTTGCCCATGAGAAGATGCAAGCAAATCCACCAAGAGGGGTGCTGCCTGGTTCAGCAGGATGACCTTGCAGGATGTGCTGGCCCAGGTTGCCTGGGAGGTAGAGTGCCTCCTTCCTATCCATGGATCACAGGCTCTAGACAGGGCAAGCCACGGAGTCTGGATGGAAGAAGCAGAGAACTGGATTCTTGAGAAGGTTCTACGCAGGCAGGAGGGCTGCCTTCTCAGTGCTCTAGCTGGGCACCTGCTTCTGACTTCAAGTTGGTAAACTCAGACCCGCCCTAGTTTTGGCTCTGGGACTTTTTCGGTAGGTTCCTCTGATTGGGAGGGAGGGGGCGCTCCACTTCCAGACTTTAGGGGCCTCGCTGGCCTGCGGTTCTGGCCAAGCTCCACAGTGCACGGCTGGCCCAAAGATTCATGATGGGGGGCTGCGGGGACCCCAGCTGGGTGCCACGCTCTGCCCAGGTCATATCTCCATTTCAGAAGAAAGCCAGATGACCTCCCATCCTACTTCTTCCTCACAGTCCTGCCTGCTGCCAGGTGAGGCCAAGGGTGGATAGGGGTCCCTGACCCCCAACTCTGTGCCCTGTGGGTATTGATGTGTAGCCCCAGACACAGGAGGGGGCTTGAGAAGGGACAAAAGGAATGGATGGCACTCGGGGTTCTGGACAGGATCTGGAGTCAGATTTCCACTGACAGTGTTTCTTTGGCAGCCAGAGAACAGCTCCCTGGAACCGTCAGTTCTGCGAGGAGCTTGGCCCCGTCACCTCGTTTAGGCCTCCCAATCAGCCAGTGATAATAAGGTGTCTCTGTACCCCCTTTACAGACGAGGACACAGAGACTGGAGAAGATGAGGACTCTATCCAAGAGCACTGCTACAAAGCTGGCAGTGGCTGAGCCCCGACTGAAACCCGGCTTTGACTGAGAGCCATGGTTTGCCAAGGCGGGGTGGGGGTGGGGTGGGGTTGCTGCAGACCCCACCAGTCCGGGAAGCCCCGGGGCTCAGAGGCCTCTGTGGGCCTTGAGGCTGGGTGCTCGCACAATGAGGGCACTGCAGCCCGGGAGCGGAATCCACCCGCAGAGCCCAGGCGCGTTGTTGCCCCGCCTCACCCGATCGGCAAGAGAAGGAGCACCCCCGGACCGCCGGGGGCGGGCGCGCGGCGAGAGCCGTCCGCCTGGGTCCGGGAGGACAGCAACTGGGACAGGGGCAGGTCCTGGGAGTCCGCGGGTAAGGGGCGGTGGGAGGGAGAGTGGCGAGCGCCCGGAGCCCATCGGTGCCTCGAACGCCCAGCTGGGCGAGGGTCCGGGGCACCCACGTGGGGGGAAAGTTTCGAAGCAGCAGAAGTGGCCCGGCCTTGCGGGGGGGTGCGGGGGAATAGAGGGCAGAGTCGCCCCTCCTTAAGGCAGAAAGGGAAAAAGCGGAGGGAAGCAGAGGTGGGCGGGGGAGCGGGCAGCACCGACCTGAACAGATTCCGCCTCCCCCTCCGCCCCCGGGAAGCCCGAGCGGGGAGGCGCGGACCGTCTCCTCCCGCACGGCCAGGACGACGCTCCCCCCCCCTTCTGCCAACGTCTATCTCAAAGCTCGCGCACATACGGAGAGTGTGCAGCATTTTTACCCCTCTGGAGAAAAAACGGGGACTGTAAAAGAAGAGAGGGCAAAGCCAAGAACTCCTCCTCGGTGTGCTCTCCACTCCGTGCCGCGGTTGGGCGCGGGGACGCCGCGGCCACCCGCCCGCTCTCTCCCGGCCCTGCAGCGTGTGCCAGTGGGAGCGCGAGCTAGGGCATCGCTTCCCGGGGACGCCGGGAGACTTTTAGGTGCCCGAGCAGACCTCGCCACCGCCGCGGCAGGCAGAAGAGACCGGGGCGAGAAGAGCCCGGCCTCCGCCTCGCCTTCCTCGGCCGGCGCCCCGCGCCCGGCCGGCCCGC